TATGATCCATTCATAGTACCAACACAATTCAAACCGCCAAGAGATCCATTTGCTCCTCCAGATAAAGACTTGATTGAGGAGGTAGGAGTGTATTTACTTTCCAGACTTAGTTTGCTTAAAGCTCACAAATTAAAGAAGTATTTTCCCCTGATACTTAAAAATGTCCTTTGTAGGATTATGACCCGTTCGCAGTCAGACCCGTAGAAGACATAGTTGCGGCTGCCCGAGCCAAAGCCGAAGAAGTTCGAATGGCTAAAGAAGCTCAGGATGATGTTGATTTTTTCTCGGGGTCACGGTAAGAATTACGACAAGGTCAGGATGATATAAAAAGAAAACCATAAGTGTGACTTTTCCAGGCAAAGTCCAGCACTTTCAACCCCAACACCTGAAGGTGGTAGCCCAGTAGCTAGTCCAACACCGCGTCCGGAAGGATTTGAGGATGATTTCAAGTGCGAGGTAAGAAGCCCATCTTTTTCAAAACTATAGCCAATTTTTTAGTGTTTTTGTACCTTTCTGAAGCACAAATATAGTTCAAATGAAAACAGAATGTTTTTTCTTCTCACTGTTTGAATCGTGTGGAAAGAAACCGATGTAAACTGACCCAAAAAATATCGTAAGCGAATGTTAACAAGAGCGTGGGTCGAAGCTGTTAAAGTCAACTCTGAAAAGCTTCTTATGACTTTCAATAACATAAATCTAGTTCCCTTGAGGCTAGACTAGACTAAGATACATTAAGATAGCATATTCGATGATTTCTATCTCGTAATATTATTTGTAGCTTCAAAAAATCAAATCAGTTTCTGAAGCTTAGAGCACATCCAAAAAACATCAGGCTATGTTCATTTCATCCTTTAGGGTATGGATATCGAAACACCCACTCCATTGTACGATGAAGATGACTCCGAACCTCTTACCGAGTTCTTGCCCAAATTCACTGGAGATGGCTGGGATCTTATGGTTAGGTGGGATCATTTGAGCTCCTAATTTTGTTCTATATAAAAGTGCAGTTGCTGCGCAAGATATCCTGAAGTACTACATATTTTAGGCACCCAATAAAGAAGAAGTCATTTATGGCGGAACGTTTCTGGAAACCTTGCTATGTACGACTTCATGGTAATACCCTACTGGTCTATAATGCTAAGACGGACAATAGACCTATTCAGGTATGAAAGCGAACAATAATCAACTAAAAAAATGATTCATTTTCATGGTTGGCCATTAGATGCACAACTTACAGCTTAAAATATTTAAAATTTTCACTCCCCTGGAAAAAAAAAACCCAGTTTTGCTTGTTAAACTTTCTCGAAGCCTAAGATGTCGTTAGGAAGGTACTTTTGCAATCTTTGGTCTGTGGTAGTTCTTACTGTTCTATATCATCTATTTACTTTTATTTTCTACTAATAATTATTTATGTTTGCTTTGATTCTCCAACATAATTCTTTTTCTGTGTTTTGTTCCTTTTTATTGCTGCAAACAAAATGTATTGCTCAAACATCTCCTTTTAACCCATCGAGATATTCATGAGTCATTTGAAATTAGAGACGCAGCAGTGACTTTGGAAATTCTCTGACACTGTATGAAATTACTTCCATAAACTCTCACAAATCTTCCTTTTTTTGGCAACACAGCTCTTCGCTTTCCAATTATCTTCAACAGTTTTATCCATTGAATCTTTGCGAGTAAACCAGTCATCACAATTTTTTAAACAATCTTTCCTGCTTTTGATCTTCAAAATTTGATGTAAACGGCAACCGCCCACGGTTTATTTTTGTTGTAAGCTTAGATACTCATC